TAGGGGTTTCGGGACCTAAAAACTAACACCAGAGGGAAAATAAACCACATACGTTTTTTTCATGGTAAATATCGCTAAAATGGACCAGGCATTTTTCTGCCGCGTTGCCGATTTTGACAAGGACTTGCGGCCGCCATGTGCTAAATACGTCGATTAGCTACTCGCCTTCCCCTTCGGTTTTGTGGGCTAAATTTTTGCTTTTTCAGACGTTTTGGGACTTAAAAATGGACAGCAGGCGAAAAATAAATAATATACATTATATTCATGGGAAATGCCGCTATCATGGACCAAATATTTATCTGTGACGTGTTGCCGAATTTTGCGGCCGCCGGCCACTTGCTGATGGTGCGGTACGTACGGACAATTTTTTCCCCAAAAATTAATAAACGTACCGTCCCTAATAAGAATGTACCGGGTGGACGTTCGGGCCGAAAAAAATAAACGTACCGGTACGTTTAATCGGGACATCAGAGTACCCACATCCCAAATACATGTATCATCACAAGTTATGCTGACCAAACAGACACACCCAAAACAATTGCACATACCTCTTCTCCCTTTGTATGTGTCAGGATAAAACTCGTAGTACAGGTCTGGTTGGTCCAGACCACTGAATGCCTCCAGTTCAGCCTCTGCAGTGGAGAACATCCGCAGACGAACCAGCAGGGCAATACGGGTGAACCACAGCTGTGGAGTACAAATAACTACACTCATCAAACACATACACATAAAACTCAATTCTTACTGTCTCATCCTATTCAAGTAATAGATATACATGTATCAACAAGAAATTTTTCTCAGTACAATAAACCTGTAAATGCTGTAACTGTATATATCATTGTCTTTTGTGTCAGGATTAGTGGAAGATTAACTCAACATTTCATTGAGTAAATTTGAGCTAAACTGGTTCAAGATAGATATCACTTTAAATTTCCCTTTCCAAGCCCTCTGTCTATGTTCTACAAACATGCACCTTACCTGTAGACTGTGTGGAGTGTGTCTTGACAGCTGTCCTGCCATCCCCATGCCCTGTCCTGACTGGGCCAGCAGGCGACCTGTCATGTCTACTGCTGCCCGCAGGTTCCCTGTCACCTGTGGAGGGTTTAGACATACTGTATATGACACAGGAACACAAGATCTGTACATGACATAAATTAACATCTGAAAAGTCAACCATTCAAAGAAAACCAAAGGTAAGATTCAAAATCCTCCTACAGTATGCTAAATATACCCCAAAGTCAAGTTTGTATTGCATGTACATCAGACTATCATACATGTAATCTACAACATCTGTAGTCATTTTAAAATTGCACCTGGTGGTTCCTGCAAATGGATATGGAAGTTGTATCTTATGATAACTTGACTTTGGGGGTATATTTCAAATAGTATAAATTATACCATAACAGACTTTTGAACCTTACCTTTTGGTTTCCTGACACAAATGCAGTGCATACAAACAGAATCATGTTATCTACACTAAAGAAGTAGTACCACTGGACAGTTATGATATGTTTGTCCATCAATCCTTACAATGAGGTGCTTGAGCCCCTGTTCATTGTGTGACACACTGTCCACAGACAGGCTCTGTCTCTTGGAGGCCTCCTGCTCACCAAGGCTTTTCTTCATCAGGTCCTGGATAGGGTCACCCTGCAGGGGAGGGGAGAGAAAGACAACATGTTATCATTATACATAAAAATGAAGAAAAGTTCAGAAGTTTGAAACCCACAAGTCCATTTTATCTCAGATTCCACTTGAGTACCAGTTATACACAAACATTTTTGCACATTAAAGCTAAACTTCTATAGTATGTTATATGATACTAGGAGATATTGTGTTGTCTTGATTCTCCATATATAACTCTCACACATACCTGTGACTCGTCCACCATGATTCCCGGCATGGTCAGCTGGTCCTTCTCCAGCATCACCGTTCCAGGTGGAGAGGTTGCTATGGCAACCAGAGTCTTCCTGGTACGTTCAGACGGGATCCAGGCATCATGGCGACGGTCCATCTCACTCATGTTGATGACGGCTGTGAATGGGTCCTCCTCTCCCGGAAACGCGCCCTCGCTGGAGCCACCGAAGGGACCACCCTGGGGTGGGCTCTGGAACAGTCCATGAGTGGTGCCTACTGCCGCTTTCTGATTGGCTGCTCCTTCTGACTCAAAGGCTTCTTGTGCAGTTTCCACGGACATCGCGCGTGCCTTCTCTGGAGTACTGCTATCTTTGACCTCTTCTTTAACATCCTGTAAGTTGGATACATTTTGGGAGACTTCTGTTGTAGATACCTGGGTGACTATAGTATCTTCATTTGAAGGCGGCTGTGGCTTTGGGGCAGCCTTTCCTTCCTTCTGAAGCTCTTGGTCTATCTCGTGCAGGAGTGCATCATGGGACATTTGGCGTGGTGTTGAGTGCAATGCTTGCTGGGATGCTTTCTCCTCCTTGCTGGTTTGTACAGAGACACAGCTGCCATCAGTCTGTTCCAGACCACTTTTCTCAGCCGGCTGCGAAGACAGGGTATCAAAGAAACTGGAACCTTCGGCATCCTTCCCTGTCACAGGGGTGTCCTGGAAGAAGGAACTGACAGAGGGCGCCATTGCACTGTCCTTCTTTGTGTCACCCTGCTGTTCATTAAACACATGGATGACAACCTGTGTCTCCTCACGGGGGCTGCCAACCTCTTGGAGAAGGAAACCTTCATTATCGTAGGTTGCTGGTGGGGTTGCGCCATCCCCCTTACCACCGTGGCTGTG